ACCCCCCCAGCCAGGCCTCGCACAGTCACGGGTCTGACACATCCCCAGGGCCAGAGAGAACACACCGGACATTCCCCCAGCGTTTTGTCCCGGAATTCTGCTTACCCCCCTCCTTCCACACTCTCGCCCCAGTTCTGCCCCGTCCCCACACCACCAACTCCGCCGTTGCCACGGACGCCCCCGGTTCTCTGCTGAGACTTTAAGCGGCCACAGCGGAGGCCCGAGCGTTCCGAAGGTGGCGAACAGCCCGCGCGGCTCCGCCACAGCGCCGCTGACCTCCCTCCCTCAGCGACCCGTGTGGTTACCACACACGGGTTTTTTGCTTTAATTCCTGCAGCCTGTTATCTCTGTGGGTTTTGTCACGCGGAGAAGCCTGCCCCGCACCAGCCCCGCCAGCTGGGGAGCGGCAAAAGGGCCGAGTCCTGGCAGCCAACAGCGTTCTGGGAAGTAAAACTGACTCCTGGAGCGGGCACTGCTCGGCTCCCGAGCGACACTGCTTCAGACCCACGACTGGGAAAACGGTTTCTCTCCCCTGCCGGCTCCTCCCAGAGCGAGAGGCCGCGGGCAGCGCGTGGGCAGCGCCGACACCTACCCTGGCATTATAAGCATCCAGCTGTGCATCTAACTCTTCTGCGGAGAGCTGCTGTTTGGAAGTTCTTCCAGCTCCTCTGCCTCTCCCTCTGTTCCCGCCACGAGTACCTCGCCTGTTGCCTCCTCCACCACCAAATCCTCCCGAACCACCACGGTTTCTGGTCATGCCACCTCTGTTTACACTGCCATGTTTAAAGAGCAACTGGTTTAGTGCGTCCCAGTCACCCCCGGCAGGCGCCCGAATGGGAGGTGGGTCCACGGTTCCTGCACGGAGAGGGGCCAGGCGTGTTCCCGCCCCGCACGCGCGGCAGCTCACCTCTGTGCTGGTCTCCTCTGTGTGTCGATCTGTGACGTGACCAGCTGAATGTTCATGGGGCGCCCTGGGGGAAGAGCAGCCCGTGAGCAGGGCGGGACCGGGCCCCCGCCAGCCGGGCTGCGGAGGCAGCCGCGCACTCACCGTCCAAGGGGACTCCGTTGTACTGCTTCATCGCCTTCAGAGCATCTGCCTTCCTCTCGAAATGCACGTCCGCCGTCCCTAGGCTGCGGCCGGATCTGTCATAGTGCACAGCTGCCTTCTTCAAGGTCCCAAACTCCGCAAAGAGCTCCTGAGGAGGGGAGGGAGAAACGCACCCGCGTCTATCAGCGCTGCCAACGCCGCGCTGGCGGCTCCCCAACACAACCGCTCCCGGCAGTCAAGGCACTTCTCAAAACGTTACTGACAGCTCAGGAAAAGCACCGACAAAAGTGCCCATCAGGATTTCAGAAAGGTGCCACAGGTGGCAAAACCAAGCAGGATTTCCTAGTCACCACATGCAGGGCGCACGTTTACAGGCACTCAAGGGAAGGACTCAAGGGAAACCGTGGGACTTTTTGTCGGGGCTGAGTCAGTGGGGCGGCTATTTAAAAATAATCCAGACCCCAATCCATTTCATAGGGGAGAATCGCCTGTATGAATGCAGGGATTCCGGAGATGATCGCAGTTTCATTGTGCTGGACTTTTTTTTCCCCTCCCCTTAAATCTTTACTAGACCAGGTGCAATCCAAAGCCACAGCCCATAAGGACATAGCCCAGATACTGAGATTAGGAAAAGCTGAATTTTACTGAAGCTTGTAATTCACCATCATGAAGACTGGAAATGAAGAGGCAGCAACAGAGCCCCCAGTTTTGTTTCCGAGCCACTACATTTCAGAAGTCACTAAGGCCACCTCAGCTCCACACATTTCTGCTTCGCTCCGCGCCCCAGAAGCTCAACGGCCACCCCAGAGGTGCCGCGCGCCCGGCGGGGACCAGCGCCTGCTCCAGGATCAGCCACGGAGCCACGCGGCTGCCCCCGACCCACGCAGCGCCACACGCGTTCCCTCATCCCGTGGCAGCCTGGGCAGGGCTGCGGGGCAGCTCCTGGCTCTGCTCCATCACTGGAGGAGCCGCGGGCTCTCCCAGGCAGCTCCCTCCAGCCGTAGAGTGCAGGTCCCTCCGCGTGTCCCTCTGGCAGCAACGGGCGCTCAGGCCCCTGGCAGGCCCCGGGTCCCAAGGCGATTGGCAAAGAAACCGAGCGAGCGACGGCCACGTCTGAGGCAGCACTGCGTTACGGGGCAGAACAAAGAGGCCCAAAGCCATGAAGTCAGCTTGGCTGCTACATAAACCTCAGGTGGAAGCTTGTCCGCAGGTCGGCCCAAGCCAGCGGAGGGAAAGGTGAATCTCAACTGCCACAGCAAGCGCAGGAGCTGGTCAGGCTGCGGCAACTCTGCAGAGCCGCATTTTACACACCAGGGCCTGACGACAACAAACAAGAAGCTTATTTAAACCAAATCTGAACTTACATGAGGAAAGGAGGCGGTTTTAAGCGTGTTACCCACTAACTAGGTGACCTGGAAAAGCTCACTTCCAACTCCCCAGATGCTGCCAGGTGGGCAGCAGAGCACCTGGAATGAATGAACCAAGGACAAAAGCGTGAAAGTAGATATTTGTTTTCCCTTGGTGAGGACCAGGAGCCAGTTTAGAGCTCTGCAGCGGGCAGACCCCCCGTGGGGACGCGTCTGCCAGCGGCAGACGTTTGTTTCTGCACAACCCACTGCCCGCCGGTGACCGTGCCCTCGCCTCAGGCCCTCCCAGCCCGCACCGCATGCCTGACCGAGAGAATCCAGCAGGTTTTACCCAATGCACGGCTGGAACACGGGCTGCAACCGCGACAGGCAACTGGGCTGGAAACGTGAAGGCAGTGGGACCACGGGCCCTGCTGTGGGGCAGCCGCGCTCCCTCACAACCCAGCCACCCCCGTGACGCTGACGGCTGCGTCCGGGGGAACTCCGCGACGCTCGACAGCACGGGGCTCGCATGGAGCCGCACGCGGGCTGAGCACAGAGCACGGGAGCAGAACACCCGCAGTCACACGGACCCGTGGAGTTCGGAGCTCACAGCGAATTCTCGGGGCAAAAGCTGCATCGCATGGAGGCGCCTCGGTACCGCTCTGCCGCAGCCCGGGGCTGCTCCGGCCCGCAGCACCCTCGGAGCCGCCGGGACAGACACTCCCTGCACGAACCCGGTTACCGACCCTGACTAATTCCCTCGGGAATGCCCGTCCCGGGCACGGGAGGCAGCGGGGCCCGCCGGGGGCTGCAGC